AGATACATTCGATTGTCCCCACCCTTGTTCTGTTCACTAAAGGCCTTAACATACACAGAGGAAAAAGCAACATGAAATTCAACACGGAGGTCACCAACCTGATCACGCTTGATGGAGGAACTTTTAAGAGGTGGGAATATCCACGTACCTAGACGGCATCATCGATGAACGAAGAGGATCTAATGCAGACATCAAGGCGAGGATAGACAAAACAAGATCAGCATTCCTACGGGTGAACCAACACATGCAACTCAAAATATCAAAGTCACAATCTTCAATTCGAACGTCAAGACAGTGCTATTGTATGGAGCTGAGACTTGGAGAACTACCGCAACCATCATCAAAAATGTACAAGTATTTATAAACAATTATCCGTACGAGATACTCACTGTCCATTGGCCGGATACTATCAGCAACAGTCTACTGTGGGAGAGAACAAACCAGGTTCAGGCTGAGGAGGAAATAATGAAAAGACGTGAGGAGTGGATAAAACGTAAATTACAGAAATAACCGAGCTGCATCACGAGACAAGTGTTAACTAAAAATCGTGAAGGGAAACGAAAAAGAGGAAGGCCGAAGAACATACTGCATCGAGAATTGTAAGCAGATATGAAACGAATGAATAGTAACTGGAAACAAATGGATAGGGTTAGTCAAGACATAGTTGGATGGAGAATGGTGGTGGGTGACCTATACTCTTCTATGAGTTGTAGCAGAAGTATGTAATTCTGAATAATCGGGTTCTTCAATAGTAACGTATTTTGTACAGTTTTTACCTGGTTTAGAATATCAAAAAGATGTATAAATTATCATTTCATCAACTCTAACGGAGATATAAAATTCAGAAACTTTATTACTCATTACTAGTCATTTAAACCAACATTAGGATTCAAGATGCAGTTCAGTGAGTGGATGTGTAATTGAAAGAACCAGTTTCTACTTAACAAAGTCGATTCGCGAGTGAATTCGTAAGAGGGAATTAATAAATTTCTGAAATCAAGTGGGACTGAATCAGAACATAATTCAGTTATTCGTGAACTAGATAGATATTTACTGACAACACAAAGAGTAGGGAACTGGAAAGATATTGGCAGATTTTCATGCTAAATGATTATCAATCCAAATCTGTTGCAGAAGTACTAAGACAACAAAATAACAGATTTCCTGCCTAACCAAAGAATTCTGTCTTCAAATTTTGTATTCGAAGATGATATTGTGGTCAACTCCTTGAAAACTAACTTTAAGGAAGCCTTTTGGTGAGCTCCTAGGTATCTGGTTTATTTCAATGGATGCATAAAAACCTTGTTGTCCATTTAGTCCACCTAAATGGTTAACTACTAACTAATTACTTCGAGGTTGTTTTGGTTATACAAGCGTGTTTTTTATCAATTCATTTTAACTCTATGATCTCCTAGGTACTATATTGGAATGTAAATCTATCATTACAATTCATTAACATTTCAATCAATTTTAGTTATGAAGCTTCAACAACTCTTAAAATCAAACGAGAACTGCGTTTTGGAAACAAAATATTGTCTTCAATTTGATCTTTCCCCTTAACTTCTTCCTCTAGTCAGAATAACGGATTGTCAGTTGTTATGACAACCTACTTACTTAAGTCATTGTCCTGATGTTTCTATGATCTCATGGATCATTATTTGATTTCTTCTGAGAAATTAAACACATTTTCTAATGTTATGATACTGATCTAATTTTCTATACACTGTAGTACATAAACAGTTGTTTCAAGTGCAATTTCAGTTATGTAGGTTAGATTCTATGAAACTAATCAGTAATTGAATATACATTTGTTCATCATGAATACATTTTAGCTATCTATCTAAATCGTCATAATATATCGATATCTCTTATATGGAATTAAGTACAGAGAATAACACAAAACCACGCCTTATTTTTCATATTTAGTCTATATTAAGTTGTTTGGATTATTGACTGTCTTCATTTATATTTCTCATTTTCAAAGAAGTAGTTTACTACTGGATTTCACAGTTCTGATTGTTATTTAAGGAGAGAAAAATTTAATGATCTATATTACTTTAGCAATATAAGTGAACTACAATATATAATATAGTATGATCAAATAATCATTGATTCGTTATTCTTCATTAAAATCTATATACTAAAATGATAGGATATTTTTCAGGCGGTAAATAATGTAAAATCAAAATACAGCTTATTTATATCAACATGAAACATTATAGCCTTGACTGTTCCAATTATTCAGTGCTCTCCGTTCACTGTGAAATTATTCAGGTTGAAAATAAATATTTGATGCATAAAAGAATGAATAATATAATACAGGTTATTAAACAAAGAATACTATTTACAGTTACATCTTAATCACTCTTTACTCTGAACTCTCTCTCTCTCTCCCTATATATATATATATATATATATATATATATATATATATATATATATATATATATAACAACGACCATATACATTATGCACTTATTCATGTTCAATAAGAAATACACCTATAGTGATTGTTTATTTCTCCCAGATCATAATTAGTTGTTTAATTTACATAATTGGTAAAAGTGATCAACAAATCTCTTTAATTGTTTAATATGTACATCAATATTCTTTTATATACTGAAGTGAAATGTAATAAGAATTTCATTGGAAACAATAGTTTGATACTTTAAATATTTTAGTTCAAATGGAAATATTCACATTGATATACATGTTATATGTTCAGTGTGCTGTTCTTTATTACTCTTACAGTTTCATTATTTCATATTTAGATTTATTAATTTGCATTTGCAGGATAAGATATTAAATTTATTGCTAAACTGGACAATTTCATTGCCACTTGAGTAATTGATTTAAGATGTTTGGTTTCATATTCTCTTTAAATAGGATAAGATATTTAGAGATTTCTTCGTATATGATGAAAACAAACAGATTTCATTGTACTGTTTTATTTGTAATAAACAGGTATATTTCTTGACGAATAATAAAAGACAAAAGATTGAAAATAAATAAATGTAAATAAACTCGATTGATTAATCACTGGGTGGTGATCAATGTCATGTATGTCAGGTCTTTCTTAGTGTAGATCAAATTCTGTCGACCAGGTTGCAATATAGCCGGCAGTCTAAATGAATCGACATTGCGTCCATTATATTGAAATAAGATGGTGATTCGAGGTAGTCAACAGGAAACTCTGAAGCTAGACTTCATGCTACTTTGCACTCGTCACCAAGGTGTACCTGTAATCTTGAGGGAACTGGTGCTCCCTGGTGGATTCGATTCCGTGTAACCCAGCTTCACAGTCAGGGACGTTACCACTGAGCTATTCCAGTTGCAAATGACCTTCTGTAGGACTGTGATGTATTTAAAATTGATTGATTATTGAGTGGTGGTCAATGTCATGTATATCAGGTCAGGTAGACTCTAATTGTGGACGGGATGACTTTTATCTTGAGTGTTAGTTTTATAACTAATAGTCTAAGCAACATTATATTTATTGAGGTTAATAGGTAGATGATTCTTACAATAATTAAAAAAAGTGTAGATTTTCATTCCCGTTCAACATATTTTGGTTAATCAACTGACTGTATTGATTGTAATTTGTGGCATGAAATCACATATAATTAAAAAATCACACAATCATTTTATTACGTTAGGTTAATGAGCACTATTTTAAGCATATTCTTACATATTATAAGCAGTATTACAAGATGCATTACTTCTACTTGACAAATACTACAAAGGGTTCTATTAGTAGATTGTGAATTGCGAACCTATATAAATTATCTAGTAGTTAGTTTTTGTAAGAACCTAGTTCGTAATTTCACTTGATTATAGCCGTTGTTTTAATCTCTTCCTCTTCGATACCAAATGATGTAAACTGACGGACTGAATCAAAACCTTATCATCAAAATTTAGTTGGCGCTAGTTAACCGTTTAACTGTGATACTAAAGTTTTAACAATGGAATAAGATATTGTAATCACATATTTTATTTATTCATACTCACAAACAAACAGGAGACCTTAAAAGTTTTTGAGATAATATCATTTTGAGGCTCGAATTTAATTGCAGAGCTATTAGAAATCAAAAAGCGGTAAAATACTGCTTCTTTTTATTCGGAACTTCGCAACCGTACTCACCTGTAACCAGATATCGAGTTAAAATGGGATCATCTCATCGTATAACACATGTGATATCAGCATAACAGTCTGTTAGTGGTTTATATGGTCAATTACAGTAATGTTTGTGATATCTTGTGATCGTCATTCATTTCCACGTATATATAAAATGATTCACTCTATAAGGCACGAATTGTCTCTAGAACCTCGAAAAATCACTTTTGGAATCATAAATGATAAATAAAAAATATTCATTTACGTAAGTTGATGGAGATTTTGGATAAGTGGAAAATACTTCTTTTCTCGAACATAAACCGTAGTTTAAATCACTTACAATTCCTAAGTATATATAATCAAGAATAATAAACAAAGGTTAACCTATCAGCAAGCTGAATTCTGTCAATCGGTTAAGTAATTAGAGATTATTTGATTTGTTAAGGGTTGAGCAAACACTTTTAACACATCCTATTAAATGAGCTGTAAAATGCTCTTGCAAACTGGAAACAAACATAAATTAACACACTTTGGAATTTATTGCTATAAAATCATAAAACATAAGCATAATGATTGAACTTAGACATAGGTGCACTACAAACGCATGAGAGTTCTCTTAAGTTTGAACAACTCCATGTTCTAAAATTTAGCTTTTTAGGCTGCCTACGTTTTTGGCTGGTCTGATAGATGTATACATATGATAAGAAAATGATTCACCATAATAAACATAATCAAAAATAGAAAAATATTATGCAATTAATTCTAGGATCATTATGTATAGTTTGTAATTAATGTAATTTGTCTATTTTTCGCAATGTACGTGAACTACAAACATTTACATATGACATAAGTTTGATTACGATTATTTATTTTTTGTTACTTATAGGAGGTTTTGAAGCATTTAGAAGTCTTCAAGATGCCCATGAATTCATTGATCGAAATATACCACTTTTTATTAACTATATAACTACTGATGATAGTTCTTGTTCCGACGCTGCATCACCTTCATTAAGTGATAATTCTGAAGCTTCATCGATTGTATCACGTGTATTCAATGATAACGTAATTTCTTTGAATGGTAATAATAATAATATAAATACTAACAATAAGTTACTTTTAGATGATATTTCATGTTACAAATTAGATAATTTTGAATCAAATGATACAGAAAAGCTTATTTCTTGTTTAAAGGATTGTTCACGTGATGAAACATTAGTTGTACGAATTAAACAAACACCATTACGAGTAAATGAAATACAACAAAATAATGATGATGTTTTAAGTGCAAGTATTTCACAAATTCTACCATTTTTATATTTAGGTAAGTTATTATTACTATTTTTTGGCTTCAATTTTATAAATGATACAAGTGTATGATAAATATAACATATATCTAATTAAGAAAGATATTTAATGTGTATGACGGTATGTTATGTTGATGAAGAAATGTGTTCTAAAGACTAAGTAGTTTTCTTTTGAGATTCACTTCGTATTGTTTTACTTGAATCTTCCCATTGATGTTTTAGGACTGAAATTGATCAGTCTCTTATTAGCATATGTGCATACTGTGTGTATGCCTCGATATTGCCTTACTTTACAAGCATTATAAGCAAAAAAGGATAGTGGCTAGCAGTGGAATTCAGGATGCACGTTTCGTCCTGTTTGGGACTCGTCAGCCGGATCTACCTGCATCTCAGGGTTGATGTTCACTCTGGGACTCGAACTCAGTACTGTTCGCCTCAAACGCCATCGCGTTATCCACTTAGCTATTGAGTCCTGATAGCCGCTTGCTTGTGCAATGGGGTGAAGTTTAATTCACTTGGTGACATTTGAAGCGGACGGTACTGAGTTCGAGTCCCAGAGTGAACATCAACTCTGAGATGCAGGTACATCCAGCTGACGAGTCCCAAACAGGACGAAACGCGCATCCTGGATTCCACTGCTAGCCACTACCCATCTTTGCTTATAATTTCTTTTGGGATGTTTCGTTCAGATATGAATAGGTAGTTTCTTCTACATATGAGCTTCAACTTTAATGAATACAATAATAATATCAATTGTAATCGTAGAAGAAAAATATATATACAGACCTACGTTGTCAACTAACCAACAAGCCTAAAATGAATTAATAAATGCATAAACATAATTATCCATGATATATGAAGTAATATCGGGGATAATTGGGAATTTCAGTATCAAACAAATATGAAATTTTAATAATATCGAAAATTATAGTTTTTGATTGAGATAGTTAACCGATAGATGTTAGACCACTAATAAAAGCCAGAAAGTACTAGACGGCCATTCCGTCCCAATGTGAGATTCTTCAGCAGTGTGCACTCACGATCCCACTCGCGAGATTTGGACCCAGAGCCTTCAGTCTCGTGGATTGTTTGAGGGTGGACATTAACATCATTGTATGCCGAGTGAGCGGTCTAGAGGTTAAGCGTTCGCTCACGAAACTGAAGGCCCTGAGTTCGAATCTCGCGATCGGGATCGTAGATACTGAGGAGTCCCGCAATAAGACGAAACGGCAGTCCATTGCTTTCGGGTTTTCAATGGTGGTCAAACATCAATCAGTTCATGACCTCAATCAAAAACTGAATAATCTCCACAACCCTACAATGACAAAAATTATAGAGTAGAGTAATAACTAATAGAAGATCTATCCCTCTACTTTATAAAATGTTAACGCGATTCAATAAATTTTAAAAAATATGCATATTTCGCATCATGTTTTGACATTAGATAAATAATGTTAAACATAATTGTTAATGTATAATCTGTAAGAAATAGTTTTTTTTACGTCATATTTACATATACTACTGATTTCTAATTTCTTTCTTTATTACCTCATAACGTTTAATTAAATAGTATCGAACTGACTGAAATCAAATTTCAATGAAAGATAATAATAATAATTCAGTTATTTAATATGATAATTAATAAAAATATTGAGAATTTGATTTTATTTGATTGTTACAACGTTATATATTTCTTTGATGATTTTGATCTTGATTATTATCCTGAAGACGTCCAGACGAATTAGCTGGACGAAATGTTGGAATTATTTTAAATTTCAATTACTGAGATATAATTACTAATCATATAATTACTATTGGATATAACTTACGTTAATCTATAATAAACTGTTTAACCCCTAGAATCAAAGTAAATATTTTTATATCAAAAATGGTTTCATACTATTTTCAGAAATTCATGAACCTAAATTTTGTACTAGTCAATACTTATCAACAAGGATTATTGACATTTGTTAGCAAAAGTGATTTTAGATTGGACTAATATATTCATTATGCTTAACCATTAATCAGATAACCTATGCTAACATATGTCACCTAGCATCGTACGTAAGTCGATATGCTTTATCGCCTACCGAAAAGCATAAAAAATGTACTATATTAGCGCCCTATCCAGATTGATAGCTAAACTAGGATTTTCCATTGAGTACGACGATCTAGTTAATAAGTCATTTAGTGGTCAATTCATGTAATGTATATTTCTCATAGCCAATACAATATTTATCAAATGCCATATTGTACTGACTGAATTTATAAGGAAATTTATATTTCTGTCACTTTTATACAGTAGTTCATATCTCAAGACTATGAGAAGTAGGTTTCCAGAATCGTGAATCCGTCTTGACAAATCTTCAAAACAAACAATTCACTTTTGTTTACTTATTTTATAGACTTCTTTTCATTTATAGACTTAGATAGATAAGAATTCATGATCATTCTTCAACTACTTGTAAACTAAAGAGAATATTAGTAGTTATTATTAAAAAAACTGTTTTTACATACTTTATATTAGAAATATCTTGATTAAACTTAGATTGGATGGATCAATGTAGAATAATAAAAGACAAAAGTTGTAGTAATGGAGGCTTGTTGGGATTGTAGAAATTTTCACAGTTGAATTCATGCGTATTGCTAAGGAGTCCCACACTAGGATGAAATAGTCGTCCAATGCTTCCAGGTTCTCATCGGTGATTTCGCTTAGATCGACTCATTAATTCAACTGTTACAATAATTGTAGGTGGTTAGAAAATATTTTAAATTGACGCTTATCTATTATTTCTTGCTGCAGCTAATGTTATACATCCGTCGTAATATAATTATCACTTATAGTTTATTTTGGTGACTTCATATAGTTAATGCTTAAGGTTTTATTTCCATTACATTAATTATAATTACTAATTCTTTATTTATTGATTCTATGCATTGATTAAGTAGTATATTTTTTCATTTATAACACAATTTGTTTCAAAAATCTTCAATCCAAATTTAGAAGTGTTAGTAGACGTTATCAAATAGAGAAATGTGAAAGAGAACTCTCAAATACAGAAGGATTTTTGTTGTCGCTTCAAACAATGTTATTTGATCTTTCTGAATGTCTGTACGCACAAATACACCAAGGATTGAAAGACTACCCAAAACTCATAAGTTCAATTTAGCTATGTAACCGGTATTAGACATTTTTCAATTCTTCATACTATGAAAAGATACATGGGTTGGGAACTTAAGTAAATTGTCTGAACGTAAAGTCATTAGAAATATCTCGAAATATATGTTTGCGTGTTTTGAGAAAACATTATTCCTATAATTTTAGTTTTAGCTTTATAAGACAGTGAAACTTTGGTAACTTAAGTAAACTTGACCAATAGGTATGTTTCCAGGATATAATAAAAATCAAATTGGTAAACACGCTCCAATTAAAACTTTCCATTACATGGGACTTTAGGGAGAATGTCTATTTCAGTGAGTGAAAACATCCTGTTTGACCTATCATTTAGTTTAAAAGATACGGAATTTGTTAATAGCTTAAGAATAGTTCTGCCTATTTAATTTTCACTGAGACAAATCAGTATTTCACAATGATCAAACCTGTTTTGTGTTATTTTAGTTTGTTCAGCATAGTCTTGATTAATTCTTCAGTTGTGACTATCTTCTTTAAATGGTTGTTATCATCGGTGGGACGTCAAATAATGATAACAATAATAATAATAATAATATTAATAATAATAAATAATAGAAACGGTCACATGATTCAGTACAATAGTGTGGTACTTCTAGGATACCGCTACTGACTTCTTGAATACATGAATCGGACAACTGAAATAAGTATACGAAAACGATAAACGGAAATTCATTGGATACCAAAGTTAAATACTTTATATCTGAATACAGTAATTTTTATATGGTTTATACTGATTATAGTTAAGATGTGTATACACCAAAGTAAATAATGCTTAAGAATAACTAACAAATAAATTACTGAATAAACATTAACCGTTTATGGCGAACAGATTTACTGATATGATTATTTCTGGAAATGTGGCTATATGTCGTAGGCATTTGGGAAAATTAGTCAACATTATGAGTCATTGAAACTTTAATCAGTTAAATCTTTGCTAATTATATGAAATACGTTTAGATTAAAGTACAGAATCTTTAATACGATATATGGATTCATGTGACAGATTTAGCATTGATTAACTGTAATTGATCTTTATTTAAAAAATGTTTCACCATTTCTATCACTATCGATTGTTCTATGGAATATTATATTGAGTATTTAGATTTGAAAGTGAAATGGCAATCGTTTCCATAAGAGATAGACAAAAAAATAAATCGTAACTATTACAATGTTTATTCTTAACGTCTACAATGTTCAGTGCTTAGAGAGACTATAAATATTTCGTATAAATACAGATTAATTATGGATAACAAAAATTATTTTTAGTTACATTTAAACATATAAAAGTATATTGAATTATATGTACAATTAAAATGTTGTTAACCGAGATGTTTTAGCGATGACCTAGCCCTCCTATCACGTACACACGAACAGATACAGATGAAGACAGCCAGTGTAGCAGCAGTCTCTGCATCAGTAGGCCTCAGCATACACAAAGGGAAAACCAAGGTCCTCAAATTCAAAGCGGGAAACAGCAATCCAATCACTCTTGATGGCGAAACTCTGGAAGATGTAGAATCCTTCACATATCTGGGAAGCATCATCGATGAACAAGGAGGCTCAGATGCAGACGTAAAGGCGAGGATTAGCAAAGCAAGGGTCGCATTCCTACAATTGAAGAACATATGGAACTCAAAACAACTTTCAACCAATATCAAAGTGAGAATCTTCAATACGAACGTCAAGGCAGTTCTACTGTATGGAGCTGAAACTTGGAGAACTACAACAACCACAATCAAGAAAGTACAAGTATTTATAAATAGCTGTCTACGCAAGATACTCAACATCCATTGGCCGGATATCATCAGCAACAGCCTATTGTGGGAGAGAACAAACCAACTTCCAGCTGTATAGGAAATTATAAAATGACTTTGTAAGTGGATAGGACATACATTACGGAAATCATCAAACTGCATCACGATACAAGCCCTAACTTGGAATCCTGAAGGGAAGTGGAAAAGATGAAGGCCAAAGAACGCATTACGTGGGATAATAGAAGCAGATATGAAAAGGATGAATTACAACTGGACTATGCTCCTTTACGAGGAGTAACAGGCGTATGTAAGTAAGTAAGTAAGAGATGTTCTAGCAGGACTGCAGTCCAAATGTCAAAAATTACTAATCTATTTAAGGAAATAATAAAACTTTTCGTATTAAATAAAGTTTACATCTTCGAGTTTTCAAAAAAACTTGTATTTTGCATTATAAGAAGTTAGAGAAAACGACGTTAAAGTCGATTAGAACTGTGACTGAGTTATGATTGGGCTACAAGTAAACAGAAATAAGCTAATCTATGTATAAATCACGAGTAACTTCTGAGACATATTAATTGACTAATATTATCTATACATTCTTATGGTATAACTATTCAATAATTAGACTATGTATATTTATATTCCTCTTATTATAAGCTTTATTTTGACCTATAATTTATTATTGTACGATTTACGGTTCTTAAGCTATTTTCAATTTACTAACTACTGCCTCCCACATTCACAGCCACTTTTTGGCTTTATTGTGTACATATGTTATTTGCTATTTTATGGTGCGTTGCGGTCTGTTTGATTGCTATACAAACCCAGTATGTATGAAATAAATGATTCTATTCGATTCGCATATTGGAAGCTGGTATTTGGTGTTCTAGACTCAAGTGGACGGGCTAGGCGGACATAGGACCAATATGGACTCTAGACTGCCCATACCGGTCGAACTTCATTGGTTAGGCACAGTGCTAAGATTATATAAGTCGTATCTTGATTGGTGGATAAATCACGTTATAAAAAGCCGGACGTAACGTCACAACTCTATCTATGCTTAATGAATAAGTAACAACGTAATGTGTTGTAGATTTATGCATTGTTAAATTTAATCTTACTAATGTAATAAATCATTTATTTCAGTTAGGTTTTGAAATACATGAAAACTGCCTGATATTTTGGAAAAAATCAATGTCAAGTGTCGATAATACCATGATTGAATCTCAAGAGGATTGAAATATTTAAATTGATTGTGCTTTGAGGAATGAACAATGCTGTATATGAACTTACATCTAAATTTGATCGAATAGTTTCATAGTATTTGAGCACCGAGTTGATGTGGAACATAAGGGAGGAAGAATGTATTTGTAAAATCTCAAAAAATAAATATGAAGTAAATCCAACTTTTAGTCTGACAATCTGGTCCAAGCTTTTTCAAGTAAATATGTAATCAGACATCAAAATAACCGAATATAATTAAGTCCATGGTTCTCTAGTTAACCGTATACTAAGCAGACCATCTAATCAATGTTAACAATGTAGGTAGGTAGGTATTTGTTTTAGCGTGTAAGAGACATGTTATTTGAAATGAAAAGTGTTAAGATAACAAAATGTGCGTATTTGTAAGTGGTATGAGAAGAAAATTCGGTGAGACCATAATTTATGAACGACCTCTGAACGACTCTAAAGTGACCAGTGTGACCTGTGGTGTGTGCTACTGATGTTGACAGATATAAAGAGTATGTATCATCAATCGAAGGTGCCTGGCTGTAGAAGGTCAAGGAGATCGAAGGGAAGAGAACGAGGACAAAAAGTGGTTGGTGAGGGAGCGAAGGAACAGTCAAGTCTGAGACAACTGATTGACATTTTGCAAATGAAGTATTTACTGTATGGCTCTCAGATTTTAATAAGAGATTCTGTAATTTTGTGTTCATATACATTTGGTTGTCCCTACAGAAGTTCTCGTTCACTACACACTTACTGACTAGGAATAAATGATGGTTGTAAATCAGCGTGAGGAATTAGAATTATGGTTTACAGTTGATGTTTAGGGTCAGGAATTAGATTGAGGGTTTTCATCACTAACTAACACCAGCTAAAATGTCAAAACGCTAGTAAGCCAGACAGATGAATGAATTTCGCGACAAAATCCAAGATCTGTTGTCTTAAACCTGATTAGTTTGTCCATAAATTATAATTTCATTCATTATATATTGCCTTTGATCGGTGAAACCATACAAGTCTTATATATGATATAAATCAAATATGTCACAGAACGCAAAAAGTGAAGATATATAAACAACAATTACATTCAACTGTTCTGATCAGTTTTCTTATCTGAATATGTTAAATAATTAACTGGAACAACAAAATAACACAAACATTGATTTCTTTATTGTTATTTTGTGAATGAAATTTATTCTCACATCAATGACAAATGCACACAATCTGGTATCTTAACACATTCCGTTTCACATCACATGTCTCTTACACGCTAAAGCAAATTCGTACCTTAAACATTGTTAACATTAAATTCACTTGTATCTTCCCATTGTTGTTTAGGACTGCAATTGACCAGTCGCTTTTTGGCATATGTGCATCCTGCACGGACTGCCGTGATATTACCTTAAGTCACAAGCTTCGTAAGCAAAGATGAATGGTGGCTGGCAATGAAATCTAGGAGGCGCGTCCCGATTTATTTGGGACACGTCAGCTGGATGTACCTGCATTCCAGAGTTGGTGTTCACTCTGTGACTCGAACCCAGTGCCGTTCGCTTCAAACATTAATTGGATGACCTATTCAGTATACTGTCAACCAGAGAACCATGGACTTATTTTATATTCGATAATTTTGATATTTGATTACATATTTACTTGAAAAAGCTTGGACCAGATTGTCAGACTAAATGTTGGATTTACTTCTTATTTATTTGCTGAGATTTTACAGATTCATTCTTCTTTCTTAGTGAGCTATGGTATTGAGTCATTGTATTACATATAAACAAATATCAAAAAATGAGCGCGCTTGATTAAATTTGTGAAGTATATGATGTAAACTCTCGATGTTTATGATGACGAATTTGTTTTAAATTCTTATACTGTTATGAGAAATACTCCGTTTACATAACTTATACTTTCTTTGAGAAATTTTAGAAACAACTTCCTCTTTTATTAATTATTTTAGCATCACTCGACATTTTCTCATAAATTTAGTTTTATTGTTAAAATCGATTTTATCCACTTCAAAGAAACACCTAATTAGGAAGCTTTTATGAATATTGATAACTTATGAAGTTGAATTTTTACAGTACGATTTTCGTTATGATTGTGACTGATTTTTGGGCATTTTATATTAGCTTGTACCTAAAATGCGTTAAATTCATTATATTTTGATAAGAGTAAATATCAGTGAAGTTAGCATTCACAGTTGATCTCTGTATGTATCATAATTAGTATATAATTACTCATATACATAGTATTCAAGTTCATGTTTTATGGGACTAAATTTTAAAACTGTAGAAGTAGGTAGAAGTTTGATTTCTGAAATATAGTAATACTTTCCCAGTACGGGGTAAGTTGTGTATACTCCTGGATCTCTCAAAACAATTGGCGGTTACTACATCTTGCTCGTTGATATAATATTTGTTTTTGGTACTATCTGCCAAAAATATCGAAAACGTGAAAAGACATGAATTTCTTCAAAAGCATAGATAGGTACCGACGATTAATGAAGAGGTAGCTTTTAATACACAGAATTCAGAATATTCATCATTCCGAAAGAATCTGACTACTTATGGCTAATAACCATTTTACAAAAAATATTGATAGCTCAGTGTTTACTTCATTGGTCCTTTCATAGGATTAATTTTATCATCTAGAATTCTATGAAAATATAAAATTTCTTTATCGCTTTTATCGTTCACCTAATGGTAGTTATTAAAGTACCCAAATCATTAGAAATATTCGGAGACACCATCTATAGGATATTCTGATTATGAATCTTGTCTCAGTTATTTATTTAAAATATGAAATCACTGATTAGTTATTATGCAAAACATGAGCAAGCTTTATATGGATCAAAAACTAATTGAAATACACATTACAAAATATCAAATGTTATCTAGAACTATGATTGCAGAAGTAAAGTTTGACATTTTATAATTTCCTTTATTGATAGCTTGTAATTTTCATGAAAAAATCACAACTAATATCACAAGATGAATGCCACATAAGTATATGTTGTAAAACATAAAATTATTTATGATGAGCTTCTAAACATATAAACATACTTTTGAAGACTGTAATGTAAAAATCTAATGATATTGTTTATGGCTGATACTACCTAGTGAACATTAAATTTGAGAACAATGCTCTCTATTAATGAAGACTGGATGCAAAATAGCCACGATGATATATATATATATATATATATATATATATATATATATATATACTCATTTATGGATTTACAATCCCTATAGCCGTTTCTTAGTCAAAGGTCAAGCTTTTCGCTTACTGCCAAGATTTTTAGGTAAAAATAAAAGTACACACTTGCATTCCGAACTAATTTATCAACTTGAAGAGTAATTATTTCAACCAAACTCATAAAACTATGAATGACATTTATTAATCAATAATTTACCGATCTACTAGAGTAAGTATTCTTCAGAAGTTTCATTCACATCTTTAAACTGTCATTGTTATAAAAAGAATATCAATGCAATCTTATTTTCAAAAGGTACTTAATAAGAAATTCCAACTTGTAATATATATGTTTTACATCATTTTTCCTTATTTATTTACATACCTCTTTCTTAAAAATACTCTTTATTTGTTTAAAGGTAATGCACGTGACTCGCAAGATGTTGATCTGATTAGACAATTAAATGTAACACATATAATTAATGTGACAGATTCATTGCCTATGCCATTCAGAAAATTAAATCGGATACAATATTTGCATATTCCTGCTTCAGATACTACAAAACAAAATTTACTCCCATCTTTCGATCGAGCTGTACAATTTATAGGTATATTTTATTTTTTTTTATATATATATCTGATTGACTTGAAGAAATTTGTTGTAGTAGAGGTGATATATATATATATATATATATATATATATATATATATATATTTCGCAAAATTTCATATATCAGTCTAGGGTTGTGGAGATTGTTGAGTTTTGGCTAAGATCATGAATAGATCAGTGTTAGACCACTACTAAAAACCTGGAAACACTGAACAACCGTTTGGTGATCTCCGTCAAAACTCAACAACTTCCATGATACTGAACTGGTAATTATCATGTGCTCACTAGTGACTGGCTTTAAGATGGATTTCCTGGAGTTCTAGTGAGAAGTGGTGACCTGAAGAGTTCAGCCATTTCCAGTGTGGGGCATTTACTCACTGAAGACAGTGGAGGACGGTCGTGCAATATCGTGAACGGATTGAATTTAGACATTAATATCGGTGAATGCTGGCTTAGTGGTCTAGAAGTCCAGTATTCGCGCACGAGACCGAAGGTTCTAGGTTAGAGTCCTGCGTGTGGGATCACGAATGTCCACTGCTGAAGAGTTTCATACTAGGACTAAATAGCCATCCGGCGCTTCCAGGTCTTCATTGGTGGTCTAAGATTGATCAATTCATGAACTCAGTCAAAATTTCATACATGTTATTTATAGTTGCTCGAATTTGTAGCATCGGGTTGTTGGTTTCAGATGCTTGTAAATGAATACTTCAATGTTTGGTTTCGTTAATTCATAGTAATTAAAAATCCACAGCCAATTGGAAGATTTATTATAATACAAATGATGGATAGATATAGTGATTCCAAGTAATATGTAGGTATTTCATACATCCTTTCCACTTCTCTAATAGAAATTATCACTTGATGTGTATTGTACTTGATAAAATCAAGGGACAGAAAGATTATTCATTTCGGTCACATCTTAGAATGACAATGCATGAAAAGTATACTTCGACTCACGTTTAATTGGTTAAGTAATAACTTCTAAATTTATTATTAGCCGTACAAAGGTAACAGAAATAAAAATACAGGTAATTTTAATTTTTGCTAACCCATATTTCAAGAAAAATTATGAAATTTCTCTTCTGTTTAGTAACAAAAGGGTAAATTTTAATAATTGACCGATAACTCAGTTTACTGTATCATAAAGGTTAAAATGAAGCGGTAGCGTAACGAGAGTTTCATTCGATAGTTTATGACGTTTTTATATCAAAAGAATTATAGATTGGTAGTGCAATGAGGAGACGACGTTTATCAGATCTATGTGATATATGGACGTGATACATTTCGGACATTTTGACTACATATTAACTTGTTAGGATATATAATAAACAAAAGTCAAACTAGACAAATAGGAACATAGGCAAAGCTTAACAAAAGGTTTATTCAATTGAATGATTTGTGTCTGTATAAATAGTACTGGTAAATACCAGGTGAGGCTGCTAAAAGAAGCACTGATGCACAATTCGTAAACCAATGGCAAAGTCAAGATTTTCTTACGTTTATTACAGTTCTGGGACCTAACGAACATGTTACTAACACCTTGCCAGTCAGAGGTGAGCCATTTAAAATGAATGCTTGAAACACTTATCAGTATAAAGAGCTGACTAGTCGAGGTCATTATTAAAAAAATTGGTGTTCAGGCTCCACTAAAATCTTAATTAAGATGTAAACATTAGTGTCGTATCACAGAGTGTTTATAAATGCAAATATGTGCGTCCGATTGTACGAAGAGAGGGGTAATTGGGTTTAAAAGTTTGGATTACTCAAAGAGTACCAAAACGGCTGCACAAGCAATCGTATAAGGTGACTCAATAAGCGCAGAAAACAAACATCTCTCTTCGTCCATTCCTTAAAGTGCATCAAAATCAGGTCTTAATATTGAACTTAAATAATCCTTTGTGGTTGGGTACAAACTTGTCTAGGGCAGATAATTAAATCTGTTGACGACTTAGTCAAACAAAGTAAAACCGCACCTCCCTCTATATGTTCGAATGTAATATGTATTTACAATATACTTTCTCTGGTGGCATTGATTTAATATCCAGGGGATTGTGATCCATATCATTTTTCATCATTATCTTTATTTGGCTAAGGTTCCAATCTGCCTAGTTTGATATTTATTTCTCATGTATAAACGTGTGGTCAGATTCCTTTTTTATCAATGTATCACAATGATCTAATAAATTTCATTTCCTCACTGCCTAAGTATATCAAAAAGACTTTTCATTTTATCTAACAAATAGAATAAATCAACCATATTCTGAGACTGATCAGACTTTAAAACCAAAGGATTGGAGAAATATGTTCAAAAAAGGTGAATAATTTGTGAACCCTATGCAAATCTTTAGCTTGGGACTTTAAACCCAACAGTTAAACTGTACATACAAGTAATTACTGGTAAAAGCCAAAAATCATCAACTTATTCCTGACTACTAAGTGAAACAAAGATGAGAATTTATCTATAATCTAATTTATACACATTCTGTAGAAGAAAGGATTCACATTAGATAAACAAAGATTAAATCTTACTTGTTATTTTCGGAAAAAATTATCTGTTAACAGGAATAAACATTTCTGCAAATTCTTTCTCTTACAGTTCAAAATTAACACGTTCTTAAGTCCAACTAGCTATCACGTAATTTATTCGCCAGTCGAAATACGACTTATTCACTCTTGTATTAAATCAATGCCGTTCGACCGGTCTGATCGGCCTAGGGTCCTTATTGGTCTTTTGCACCCCTAGCCCGTCCAGTTGAGTCCAGAACACCAATAACAGCTCCTGCTATGCGAATCATTTATTTCAAAGATACTTGGTTTATATATCAGCCAAACAGACCACATCGCACCATAAAATAAGAAAATAGCATTTATACAAGATCAGGCCAAAAAGTGACTGTGAACGTGGGAAACAGTAATTAATTAACTGAGCATAATTTAAGAACAATAAATCGTATAATAATAAATCACAGGTCAAAATGAAGCTGATAGTAAGAGGAATATAAATATACACAATCTAGTTACTGAACAGTTATACACTAGCAATATATATATATAATATTGTCCATTAATAGATCCCATAAGTTACCCGTAATTTAATCTTCACTAGGATATATACTCTTAAAATTATGAGGTAAAACCTCAATAAATTACTTTTAAGGGAGATAATTTGTTCGCTTTCACCAAGATAAAAAATTGCTTTTGTAACTGTCATAATAATTCACTAAACTTATTTACAATTTATTTGTTTAATGTAGTTAGAAAGCATCATATTAATTTTTCTATAATCTACTAATCATCTCATGATCTACTAAACCAGATCAACATTTTAGACATATACCACATGCTTTCTATATTCTTAATCAAATGAGAATACTTTAACAATGATCTAACCACATATTATATAAAAGTGTCATCTAGAAGCCATAGATTTCTTGAAGATGAATTTGCTGTGATATGTAAGTAATATGGTAATCATCAGACAAGAAAAATTTTCAACTCTTATTGGATTTGAATTAGCTTTGTGTTATAGCCCAAAGCCGCCAATCGGAAGCAGCGAATTATCGATCGGACCAAGGACGCGTAAAACACGTGCGAGCAGCCTAGAGTCCTGATTGATTCTGCTTTCTGCCTAGCCCAGCCAGTTAAGTCCAGAACACCAGTCTCAGCCTCTGCAGTATGAATCATTATATTTCAAACATACTGAGTTTATATACCAGTCAAACAGACCAGAACGTACCATAAAATAGAAAATAACATTTGTACAACATTTGGCCAAAAGTGGCTGTGAATGAGGGAGATAGTAATTAATAGACAAGTCATGACTCAAGTATGGTAAATCCTATAATAATAGTTTATATGTCAAAATAGAACTCATAATAAGAGGGACATGAATATGAACAGTTTAGTTACATAACAATTATACGATAAAAATATGCGTATAGTATTGGTCCATAAAAGGATCCCAATGTTACCATTCATCATGTTTTTTGGGACCTAACACTTTGACTAATTGGAAATTGAACGGACAAACTTCTCTTGAGAAAATCGCTAAAAGATTAAGCAGTAACGTAATTCATTAGAAATGAAAATTCACGTAAATCTAGATGATCATTTTAGACATCTTTGTTCATAGAAACACACAAATAACACATAATGTCAAATTCAGTCTCAATAGCAAACATGAAATAGAAATAACAATGGAAGAAATATGATTTTTAATACATACTGGACTATAATATGTCTAGTTATAATTCATAATAAGTTACATTTTGCTCGCAAAGATTTTGTGAGGTCATTACTTACTTACTTACTTACTCCTGTTACTCCTCGTGAAGGAACATAGGCCGCTCACCAGCATAATCATAATCAAACTAATTTAGTAACTTAAAAATCCCTTAAGCAAATATGTTATCCTCTAGTTATAAATTATGAACTGCTGTTGATTTATTCAATAAACGTTTCACCGATGAAACGAATGCTGAAATCTCAGCCAATATTTTATCGAATACACAGAATAATTGCAAAAAAACATTAGACGTTGTTGCTGTCCTAAATTGTGCATATTATTTAACTAAACAATGTAAAAACTATATGTCATAACTCAGATAAACAAGTTGTTCATTTCTTTCAGATAGATAAGTTTTCTTAGTCACTTTTAAGCAACGTCTGACTGAAAATGCCTTGTTCGATATGCAAGTATTTCTTATATAATAATTAAATACATGAGTCAATTGAAGCTAGACCACCATGGAAAACCTGTAAGCACTGGACGACCATTTCATCATAGTATGGGAATCCTCAGTAGTGCAAATCCACTATCCCGCCCCCGAGAGATTCGAATCCAGGACCTATCAGTCTCACACGCAAATGCTTAACCTTTAGACCACTGAGTCAGCATCCAATAATACTATATACATATATAAAAATATGAAACAGAGATAATTATGTATGAAAGTGTTCTAGTTTATCTTTTGGAGTTCTGAAAGATACGCAGTTATTCAAAACTAAACGAAACAACATTTATTTATGAAACTTTTAACAAATATTCTCGATGACATTTTACAGCACTTTTAAAGTTTTAGATTTCGAGTAGCTGAAAATGATTTTCTACCTATTTCTGCCTTCATTATATAATCTTGATTTTACTATCTAGATCTAAATCATTAGCCAAGATTTTGTACAGCATTTTGGGATTAAAATATTCATCCTTATTGTTGTTGTTCAACTGTTAAATGATTTGCTATTCAACTAATTTTTGAATGCAGTGGCTGTGAAATTGAATCGTTAGATAACTATTGAATATTGGCTTTATTAAAATGTAACTTGAAATTTGAATAATTTAATTCTTGTATTACAGGAATACTATTAAAATGTAAAAAAAGAAAACTTCGTGTTCGTGGACTGGTTGAAGTTAGACATTAACACCATTGGATGCCGGCTCAGTGGTGTAGTTGGTTAAGCGCCTGGCGCGAGACTGATAGGTCCTGGGTTCGAATCTCGTGGGGTGCGGGATCGTGGATGCGCACTGCTGAGGAGTCCCATACTAGGGCGAAACGGCCGTCCAGTGCTTCCAGGTTTTCCATGGTGGCCTAGCTTCAATTGACTCATGATTTCAATCTGTAAAAAAAAAACTATTGAATTTCAGTGTTGTGCAATCGTTAAAATATCACAATTATCAAACATTAGCTGAATATAATTCAATATTGTAAAAATGTTAAATAATCTCACAGAAGATAGTTTACAAGTCTAAAGTTTTCAAAATATTCTTTGTATCCTTTTAAACTTGATAAGTTCGAGCATTGTCCTTGCGTTTAATTAAGTAACTACATAAACATATTTGAATAAACATGAATTGAAATGTGCTGTTAGATCATATTACACCAACAAGTAAACAATATTTTTAATCAAGTATGACATTCACAATATATTGTGAGTACTTGTGATCTATAACAATTTATTTATATATTATTTACGCTGTTGGAGTTCATTATTAGTACACTTTGATAAAATTTTGATAATAGTGTAGTGTAAATTATAAGTAAAAATAAATGCTTCATTTCAAATTCTCGTCATTGCAACTATAAAACGAGATTTTTTTTAAAAAAACTTCTTTTATAGTATCTAACATATTCAGATCGTTTTCAAGTTTCTACATTATTCTTCTAAATTATTCTTACAGAAAAAGCAAGAAAGCATAATGGCATCGTTTTAGTTCATTGTTTAGCTGGTGTTTCTCGATCAGTTGCAGTTGTCATTGCTTATCTTTTATACAATAATCGTGGATTAAATGTTTATAAAGCATTAGAATTTGTACAAGCACGTCGTTCTGTAGCTGGACCAAATTTACATTTTATGGGACAACTTCAAGCTTATTATCATGATTTACATAGTCGTAAATCAAATATTTTCACTGATAAATTCAATATGAAATCTAAAGATAAATTAACAAAACGTAATAGTGCAGAAAATTTAACTGGCAAGTTAAAAAGAAACAATCTACCTCGTAGTGTAAGTTTATCATCTAACTGGATTCAATCACAATCACGTTCTTCTTCTGTATTGTGTAAAGTTTCTAGTTCAAGTAATTCTACTACACCAGGATATGTTACTTCAACATTATCCATATATGATTTGGGTAATATTAAAATTAATAGTAAAAGACCTATAAATTCAACATGGTCTGTAAGTACAACATGTACAAATCGTAAACGTTCACTTGTTCGTAAATGTTCACATGAATCAGATAAACCATCCGTGATACCAATTAAAACTCAAAAATAATTATATATATATATATAAATATTCTTCTAAAATTCATTATGTAATATAGACAAACAATTTTTTTGGGCATAGAATTTAATTATATTTATTTCAACTAACTTTGCTAATCTTCTTGTTGAATTAAACTAAATAACATTTATCTTTGTAATTGTACGAATACATATGTAATAAGATTTAAAACACCTTTTTTTCCCCCTGCTATCTGCTATGTTCAATTTCACTATCATTATCATCATTATCATCGTTAGTCTGTTTGGTTGTTTATTTTTCTTTTTTTTTCTTGTTGCATCAAACACTGTAAGCGTTAATGTGATTTTATGAGTCTGATTTTGATTTTTTCTTTCTGATTTTTATATTCACAAACGTAATCCAATAAGTTCTTGAATCCTTATATGGATACCGTTTGTTTGTTTGTTTTTCTTTGTATTAACTATTCATTTCTATTGTACAAATCTACTTGAGAAAGTCTTCTTTTTTTTGAAATTTTTTTCACTTTATTCAAAGTCCAATAATTCTTTTTACATGTTGAAACGTTACAAGTTATATTTGTTTAATATTATTCATTTTGTAGAAGATTTTTCTATTTATTTTCAACAAAAAACAAAGATCCTTCTTTCGAAAAGTGTAACAATAATAACAAAAAAAATGATAAAACTGATGAAAATAGTGTTTCGTTATTTTCTTTATATTAAATAAATGTATAAATTCACTTGGTGTTGTTTTACTTGTATCATCTCATTGTTATTTAGGAGTGCAATGGATCAGTATCATATTGGCATATGTACATCCTATGCGGATTACCTCAATATAGCCTTAAGTCATAAGTGTTTAAATCAAAGATAGATAGTAGTTAGCAGTGGAAACTAGGACGCGCATTTCTTCCTATTTTGGATGTACCTGAATAAGTCCCAGAGTGAACAACAACTCTGCGATGCAGGTACATCCAGCCGACAAAGCTCAAATAGGACGAAACTTACCAACTGGATTCCACTGCTAGCCACTATCTATCTTTGTTTAAATAAATGTATATCTTTTTTCAGGGTTACAGGTACAATATGAATGAGTTTTATTCTTTTATAACATAAAAATACTATGGGATGACTTTATTTTAAATAAAATAAAAAGGACATCAGATAAAATACAACTTACCATTGGCTTTATAAAATTAAAATCTAACATGATAGTAGTTGGTTGTATTAATAAATTAGAACATTAAATAACTATGCATATGACCTTTTAATGTAAAAACTGTTTTGTTTTGAAACAAATTAAGTGGCTAAAAACACAAAGTTCAATGAAGGGATCTCTTTTCAACGAATGTATATTACCAAGCTGTACAATTGTATATATATATATGACAATTTTCTTTTATTGAATTACTAGTTCCGTGAGAAAATGTGAACACGAATAGCAAAGATGATGTAATAGAAGGATTATAATATCAGATTACGTAATATGAATAAAAACAATGGACTTCGTAAATTAGGAACGAATTATAACGTGAATATAGTAAGATGACTAAAATGTTTTTACTACAATAATTAAAGGATCCACAGTTTGATTTTAAGGTTGTATATATTATTCGTTCAAAGGTACCTAGATTTCTTCGTATCCAGCTCCTAAAAATAACCGGAGCTCTTACCATCTACGAGCCCAAGTCAGATCTATGCGTACAAAAGAAGTACGTCCTATTGTTATCGTTACCCTGGCCTTAATTATTATTATTGCTGCATACCCCATTTACTTATGTCTCATATTCTCATTATTTTATTCATCATATATTTTACTTATCACATCACTATTTATTTTTTATACCTTTCTGACCTTTAATTACCTTTAATTATTGTAGTGAAAACATTTTAGTCATCTTACTATATTCACGTTATAATTCGTTCCTAATTTACGAAGTCCATTGTTTTTATTCATATTACGTAATCTGATATCATAATCCTTCTATTACATCATCTTTGCTATTCGTGTTCACATTTCCTCATGGAACTAGTAATTTGACAAAAGAAAATTGTCATATATATATATATACAATTGTACAGCTTGGTAATATACATTCGTTGAAAAGAGATCCCTTAATTGAACTTTGTGTTTTTAATTTTTAATGTTTAAAAAATGGGAATTATCCGTAAATTATGTATAATATTGTTGTTTTGTCATAGAAATGATAAATTAGTAATATTGTAAGGAGTAGAAACAAGTTAACTTTTCAAAGGATAAATAACTTTTTTACATGTTCTCAATTATCTTGATAGTATAGTGAGAATATGTGATTTAATTAATCATTGAATAAACATGAAATTAACTTAGTAATCCTATAAAACTTGAAACTTAAAATTAGTGATAGCTTTAGTTGTTACATTCTATCATTATCATATATCCCTGTTAAAAATATACAAATAAATCAGTGGATTAGAGGTTAAGCGTTAGCGCATGAAACCGGAAGTCCTGGATTTGATTCCTGCGTGCAAAATTATGGTTTTGCACTGTTGCGGAGTCCCATACCAGGACGAAACAGCCGTTCAGTGCTTCACGGTTTTCAGTCGTGATCTAGCTTAGATCGACTAGTGAATTCAACTGTTTAAATACTACAATCTCCATCAGTCCTCATACTAAAATCAAAATGACTTTGTATATGATCAGAAAATATATGTAACTGTGACAGTTAAATGGCACATTGTGTTCTGTTGCACACAATCAAAAAGATAATCTTAAGAATTAAATTATTTTGAATTATTTATTCACATTGTAATATGTAACTAAATGAAAAGTTGACAAACGATCATATGAAGAGTAAACCAATTGATCTTATTATTATTATTTTCATGTGAAACGATCACACGCATATATGCTTTATTGTGTTCACTGTGTTTAGTCATTTTTTCATAAATATGAAAGTAGTACGTTTTCGTCTAAATTGTTATTGTTCTTGTTATTTGCGTTAAATTTTGATTGTTATTTAATATTTGAAGATAAACAACTTGTACGTGATCGAGAGATGTAATGAATTCATTTCTGTTTATTATATTCAACTATGATTGTAATGTATGTTTTGGTAATGACAGTTACATAAATACATATAACAACGTAATGTGAAGAGAAAATTCGGTGAGACTATAATTTATGGACGCGCTGTGAGTGATGCTTAATTGACCTCGAGAATGTCGACTAACTTACCAGGGTTAAGTGAAGGTTATAAATCAGTGTGAGGAATTAGGATTAGAATTTACAGCTGAACCTTAGAGCTAGAAACTGGCTATATCATAAAATTCCATCAGCTTTAATGCTAAAATGCTATTTAGCCATATGGATTAATTAGTTTCACACCGAAATCCAACCTAATATCTTAAACCCGACTGATTCATCCATAAACTATAGTCACGCAGAAAATTCAATAGAACTGATGAATCATTATCGTGATAATTGTACATATTTAACAACTCAATCTCAAGATAAATTACTTTACTTAACAGATCTGTGATCATTTAAGGGACTTACTATTTCATCGTTAAATAGACTCAATAATAGTCAGAAAAACAATAAAAAAACTATCAGTATAGGGTTCTGGAGAATTTTGAGTTCGAGTCTCACGTGAGAAGTCATGAATGCGCACTGCTGTCGAGTCCCATTCTACGACGAGACGACCATCCAGTGCTTCCAGGTTTTCAGTGGTGGCGTAACATTGATCCATTCAGCTCTCCTAATACCAATTTCGATTATGATTAAGTTTTGTTAAACCCTTTTATTAACATACATAACAGACAATGTTATTCTAACAGTAACAATTCGCATATTTCTTTCTACTATTATGATCACTATCTTATCTGTATAAACGTGTATGCTTGACCACATGACAGCCTACGCACATATCTCTTTCTAGCTTAAATATTGATCGCTTACATATCACTCGATGATTCCTTCTCTTTCCCCACGTATATATGTACTCAGATCACATTATTAGCCTTCGCCTTACCTAGCTGCGCCCTATTGGATTTGACTATAAATTTGCTTCTGTATTTTCTCGCATACACAAATTCGCCTCTCTGCTTCAAATTCGCTCAATATGCTTATGGGTTCGTGATCCGTGCTATCCGCTAATAAATTGTAGTTGCCGCTTCTCATTGCCTTCTGATTTCAAACACCGTTGGGATTCCTATAATAACGGTTATCAAGGTGGTCAATTAACGAAGCTAAGCCACTACAATATATTAGCACCATACATTTTAAACAGTCTGGTCATACATACTTGTGGTTATGAGATTGATTCTAACTTGGCTTTTATGGTTTTGTACAAATGTGTTCAGGGTGTATACTAATTTTTATTGAAGCGTTGGTCATACGAAAGTTAAACCCCTCTTTACTCATTCAAATTGGTTTGTTCTCACTCTAAACCTATCCTGATAATACAGTTTATTATTCATCTTGGTGAGTTTCAAAGTGTTTACTTAAGAAAAGAACCATTCTTATCTTCTTGTTTGTCCTTATTTCCTTCTATTTGTCTAGTTGACCTTTTAATTTTTTTCACATACGAATGTTCTTAACTAGTATATGTGCGACTAAATTTTTCGATACGTATTGTGCTAATATATCATATAGCTTTGATGATCTTCATCCTCTTATTACAATAAACAAATTTATCAAAGAGACTAATTGCTTTCATTTTTTTTAAAAACGACTTTACATACATTATTAAAAGGTAAGATGAACTTGTTAACCTGCGGTGTAATACTCGAGAATGTTACTGCTTTCTCTATTTTCGTTCGTAATAGCATACAGCATTTAGGATTAGACATTTTCTTGGAAGAAATACTGAAACACCAGCTCTGCAAGGTGGAAAAGTGAATAATGTAATGTTTTATGGATTGGAGTTTATTTACAAGATTCATATTACCATATACAACTTGGGAGAACAAAAATTATACTAAGAACAAGGAACAAAAACAGCCAACGATATAAGTATCTCCGCATATAATTTTTTCTCATTATTCTTTAACTTTTACAGCTTCTTTACACGAAATAAAGTCAGTTAAAGAACCATTAGAAATTTGACAGAACTCGATAGATAGGTGCCACGTCTTATTTAAGGATTCTAAACTGCGTACCCATAATTAAGATCATTTTGTAGTAAAAGCTGACTAATAATGAAACTGTGAATAATTTAATTCAGTGATTATTAAACTTAAAGACTGTTATCGTCTACTAATAATAGTTCCAACTTGGTTACTGTATACAGTAACCGATCGATTTTCAGCACAAAATTCTTCACCGTTTCAAACTATCAATCAGAACAGTAATAATTTAACTGAGTGATTTGTACTCACCCAATTATAAAAATACAAAGATATTTCACAAAATTTTCTAAATAATATTCTACATGTAAGCGTTTAGATTCATGTCGGTAGACATTTTGAGTAGTACATTTATAATTAACCAGGTTTGTTGTGAGATAGTAACTCACTGATGACAATGGTGGATGGAAGCGCAACCTTATGAATTGGTTGAAGTTAGACATTAATATCGTTGGATGCCGGTTCAGTGGTCGGGAGCTTAAACGTTTGCGCACGGGACCGAAGGTCCTGGGTTCGGGTACCGCGGTGCGGGATCATGGATGCGCACTGTTGAGGAGTCCCAGGTTTTTCATACTGATCTAGCTTTAGTCGATTCATGAATTCAACTGTGAAATAAATTAATTGTCTATT